TTTTTTTTTTTTTTTAACAGAAAATTGACATGAAATTGTCTATGTTATACACTTTTATGACTTTATAACTCCAAATTCCATTCACATCTGGAAGTTTCAGTTTTTCTTAAATGGCTGGTTTAAAAAATTATTTTGATCATTCTCATAACCTACTGTTAAAAGTAACATTTTAAGTTATTTCAAGTTTCGTGTCTAATTGTGAGTATTGGGCATCCTATATGCCTGAGATCTTAAGTTATGTCTAATGCCTAAGTAGATCAGGATTTCATAAAAATTCCCTTAAGTAAGTGCCAAATCATTGTCATACCACATTTCTCCCTGTTTTTCAAGCTTTTGTTAAGGTGTTTTTTTCTTTTTTGCTCTGATACTGTATAGCCCATTGTGTGGATATTTTATTTACTATATTCAGCCTAACTCGTGTTTTTCAGAGCTTCTGTATGTGACTATCTACTGAAATCTGTTTTCACTAGATTTAGCCTGTTTCTAGGTTTATTCCATGAGCACATTATTTTGTGAATCATGCAAAGGAAATTTTATAGCCTGAAACAACATCTTGCCACTCAATACAAAATCTAAACTCACTTATACACTAACTAAATGAAAATTTCAAACTGCTATAAGTTTTAGCACATGAGAAAAATAAGCAGGGATTAGGAAACTGCTATCTTGAAATAATTTTTGCTACTTAGTGTCATAAATCAATACTTTATCCACTGAGCATTGAGCTTTTAATTTGCTAGCAAATTTTGTTTAGTCCATTCTATTATCATTTATTTTAAAATCTTTTAACTTGTTGTTTGAATTTAAAGGGCCCGGACAAAAATAGTTTATTCTGCATATAGTCGAAAATCCGCCAGAGAAGTGAGAGATAAATTGTTGGAGTTACATGTGAATTATTATATTTTAGAAGAGGCGTGGTGTGTTGTGAGAACTAAGTGAGTATTAATTCTGTAATATATGATATGGTATATTTTCAAATTTGGATGTTTCAATTTATTACAATTTTCTGGATTCTTTAACAATTGTTATCCTAGATATAACCAGTTGCCATTGAGCTAATGCTGACTAATGGCAAGCCATGTGTGTCAGAGTAGGACCATGCTCCATAGTTTTCAATGGCTGATATTTTTCCATACCAAAATTCCAACCTTTAGTTAGCATCCAAGGGCATTAACTGTTTGAACCACCCAAGGACTAGTTATCCTAAATAAATTTCATTAAAATCTTACCGCTAGTATTTTAGTTAAAATAATTTCATATAGAGAAGTAAAATAATACTATAATTTAAGTGGAAACTGTTTTGGAAAAATTATAGTGTATTTTAGCATTCTGGCTTTCTATTTTAATTTAACATCTTAAGCTCAACTTTTTTTTATTGTGGTACAAATATACACAGCAAAACATTTGTCAAATTTTATAGATTCTACATGCAGAACTCAGTTACATTGATTGTAGCTTAAGTGTTGTGCAACCCTTATCCATATCTTAATCATTCTATAACCATTAATGTAAATTCCATGCTGCCCAAGAAAAACTATGTCCCTTCTCTCTCCCATCTCTGGTAATCATTAATAAGTCTCGATTTCTATAAATTTATTTATTTCATGGAAGTGAAATCATACAATATTTGTCCTCTTGTGACTGAATTATTTTGCTCAGACAATGTTTTCAAGATTCACCCATATTGTGACATGTATCAGGAATTCATTCCTCTATATGGTTGAGTAATATTACATTGTAGGTATGTAACACATTTTATTTATCCATTTGTTCACTGATGGACATTTAGATTGTTTCCACCTTTGGTTATGGTGAAAAGTGCTGCAGTGAACATTGTTTCTGTTTGCATTCCTGCTTTCACTTCTTTTGGATCTATATCTGGATTAGAATTGCTGGGTCATATGGTAGTTCCAAGCTCAGCTTTTGAAGACCTGCCAAATTGATTTCGACATTGACTCTACCATTTATTTTGCATTCTTATCATCAACAGATAAGGATTCCAATTTTTTCCACATCTTCTCTATAACCTCTTGTTTTGCATTTTTAAAAACTTATTGTTGCCATTCTAATGGAGGTGAGGTGATATCTCATTGTGGCTTTGATTTACATTTCCCTAATTAAATCAGGAGCTCTGGTAGTGTAGTGCCTATGGCACTTGACTGCTAACCAGAAGGCTGGCAGTTCAAACCCACCAGCCACTCCTCAGAAGGAAAATGGGGCAATCTACTTC